TTCATCAGCTTCATAAACTACCAAAAGGTTTATCAATGGGTATTTCATGTAGTTCGTCAGCTTGATAAACTACCAAAAGGTTTATAAATGGGTATGTCAGTTGGTTCATCAGCTTCATAAACTGCCAAAAGGTTTATCAATGGGTATTTCGATTGGTTCAGCAGCTTCATAAACTACCAAAAGGTTTATCAATGGGTATTTGATGTAGTTCGTCAGTTTCGTAAACTATCAAAAGGTTTATCAATGGGTATTGCGATTGGTTTATCAGCTTCGTGAACGATCAAAGCATTTATCAATGGATATTTCAACTGGTTCATCACCTTCATGAACTATCATGAGGTTCATTAGAGAGTATTTCGGTTGGTTCATTAGCTTCATAAACTACTAAGAGATTAATCAGAGGATATTTTATTTCGTCGATCAGTTTCATAAACGATCAAAACGTTAATCAAAGGGTATTGCAGATAGCTAATGACCCTCATCAGGTTCTAAAAGGTTCATCAACAAATATTTCAATTGATGAATCAATCTCGCTGACTCTTAAATGGCTAATGCGAAAGGATCAACTATCACAGCGATTTTTGAAACGCGCCGGGAGCATTTATGGTAAGAAATGAAAGAAAATAAAAAATAGACAACAGTGGAAACATAGGACAAGCGAATAGAGTAATAATTACTTGTGAATTAGAAAAGGACATTATTCAAACTAGGGCTCAAATAGGAAACGCAAATATGGTAATTGAGAAATGCTTTGACGTTCAACATTTGGTATAACGTATCTATAGGAACTGAAGATATTAGTCGCATATTCGAAGGATTAGTCACCAAAACTTCTATGTACGTATTATAAGTGGAGAAAAAGCAACGAGAAATAAGCAAAATTGGCACAAAAGATGAGTATAAGATTGGGTGAGAGTGTTATTGTGTTCAATGCTGTCTAACACATGCATGGACAGAAAGAAATCGTGCGAAGCACAAATGTAGAAAGAAAATTTAGCCTCAATAACTAGAAAAATTTGTAGGAAGAACGATGATTACTTTATTAAATAAAGCATTTGATGGAAGAACGTCTATGTCACTCACCAGTTTTACAGAAGAAAAGAAATATCCCATTTTAGTGAATGCGACCATAAAATAGGATATGAGATCGAAAGAAAAGATAAGAAGGAAATGTATTTCATTTTTGTTCGCAACGAATATCTGAAATATTATATTAGTAAATTACTTATTAAAAGAAATGAGGCTAACTGGACAATGAAGATAAACTCATACGAATAGAGAAAAGATAACAAAAATATTATACATGAATGAGGCAGCATATTGGATTTATAGTTTAGCAACTCGCAGAAGAATAAAAAGAACTACTAATGAAATAACTCGCTCGTTATATCGCTCAATAATATGTATCGATGAAATGAGAGTATAGATTTACGAAAGAAAATAAAAAAAGAAAACATCACTCACCATGTGGTTCATCTTTGGATGCAGTTGATGTTAAATTGATAATAGTATATAACTGATTCCACTCGAAATCAAGAAGATTATAACAATACATAATCCAATTAATGATATTTTTTGAATGGAAAAACTAAAATATAAAAGAAAAAAAAAGAATTTGAAAATGAAATATCATTCACCAGATTATTCATTGTTTGATATCATTGAAAATAAATAATTAATCTTCCACTCGTTATTTTGCTAAATAATTGATACCATGTAGATTGAAAACTGACAGAGACAAAGGAAGCGGCATCATTATTTAAAATGTGATCCACTGTTTGAATAACTTCATACTGAATGAACAATCAGTAAATTGAAAATAATCAGTAAAGACATAAATATCAATATCGCAGAAGTCAATTGATGTTGTTGTTCGAACCGAATGACTAAATATAAAAGAAAGAAAAAAAAAGAAAATTTGAAGAAGATATATCACTCACCACGTTGTTCATTGGTTGCTATTAATGGAAATAAATAATTTAGGACTGGTTTGTGACTTTGTTCAATAATTGATATCATTGAAATGAATAAACTAGCTGGAAAAAACTGGAAAGAAATCAATAATGAAAATACCGATCCATTTCTTGATAAAGTTAATATTGAATGAATAATGCACAAAAAAGACAATAAAGTTGACAAAAATCAAATATCGACATCATGCTATTCAGTTGTGATACTGCTTGAATTAAATAAGTAAATGCTAAATACAATAATAACAAAGGAAATCTAAAACTTATATTTTACCTATTTTGTCGACCAATGTTCGAGGAACTAACGTATCATACAACCTAATAATTCATTAAGGAAAAATATGTTCCAACAATACGTACCTATCGAGTTATTGAACATTTTATACAGATTGAATTATATAGATGAGGAAAACAATGACCAAGAAGGCAGAAAAAAAGACAGTAGAAATGATTTTCAGATCTTTGCGTTTACGATGTTTGATTCTTTCTCTCTAATTGGATAGATATATTAATAATATTATATTTAGTTTGATTTGATACTTTTAGATTTAATTGTATTTGATATGAATAAGAAAAAATAAAGAATTAAAATAACGAAAGAAACAGATCATGTGTGAAACAATATTGTTTGAGATGAAGAAAGAATGACAAAAGTTATTTGATCAATTACTTGAACATATAAGACATTGAGATTAAGTTCGTCGTTTACGTTTTGTTTGTAGTAATGCAACAGTAGAATTTGTCATAATAGTAAGTAGAAGACGACTTTGAGAAGATTCAACATTATCTTGTGGAGCATCGTTCATTAATGTGTCATCCTGTTCTTCTTCATTTAAATTTTGTTTACGTTTTTGTTTCTTTCTTGTTTGAGGTTGAGAACTACAATCAGATGGCAACACGTTCTCGTTGTTATGGTTGAATCTATATAAGAAAAAAATTGCCAAGAAATAAATGAATTAGAAAGATATAACTTACTGATTTGTATTAGAAGCCATATCTACACTTGAATGAGAACCATGAGTTGAAGTCGTTGGTTCTGTTGTTTGATTAATAATAGAAGAATTACGTTCACCAGTTGAATGATCCAATAAATTTGTAACAATTTGCAATTGATTTCGAGATTCACTAATAAGTGTTGTCGTATTGTTCGAGATAGAAGAGGACGAAATAGATGTCGGTTGAAGACGTTCTCGATGAATATCAATATTCTTCTCCTTTATCAGTACTCGAATAGAATTAGACAGAAATTGTTTATCACAATGTAAAACACAATATAAAAATCGAATGGTTCTACTCTTTTTATCAAAGGATAATTCAAAAATAAAATACATTCCGATAAGAAGACCAAGAGCATCATCGGGTGAACTTGTTGAAAGTATTGGATGGAAGTCAACATAAATATGAATGACGTCATCAATCGAAACCAATGTTGGATATGGTGTTGGTGGTTTCTATAAAATCTGATGTTTTTAATTTTTACAAATAAAAAGTATGCTATGGTATATCACTTTCTTGTGTCAACATGTTTCAAAGACGTCTAATATATGAAGTCAACAGTTGAGAAAAATTACAATTATAAATAAATCATTGCGATACGAGTCTTCAACATGAATACGTGTCAATCAATAGAGACTACACAACAGATACAAGAGACAGACCAGTTATAAAGAAGATATAACATCGAATAAGATAAAGATCTTTCGTAAAAGCTGTAGCTTTAAATCTCATATATGTATCTTTAATCATTTAAGTCAATCATTTATTGATTGAGATCAATTCAAACTAATTTCACATCTGTTTTTAAGCAAAATTTTGAATATGTAAAAGATGAAACTTACCTTTTCGCAGAATATATGTTGAACAGTCTCACCGAACTTTCGACAGAAGATTTTAATTAATCGAATCGGAGGTGAATCTAAATTCAGAAATTGTTTATTCATGAATGTTTATTATTAATTTTATTTACCGGCAATGAATGCAGGAGTTTCGACTAATTTATCTAGTAAAATATGAACTTGTCGTCGAACTTCTTTACTTAAGTCAATATTCACCAACATTTTTACTTCTTCGAAGACCTATAATAGAAAACAATTATTTAATGCAAAGAAGTAACCTTGAGGAACTAGTTTACCAAGAAAGCATCACTATAAGCAGGAAAATTCTTCATAATATCACTTGTTGATTGATCTTGCACGACTTGTCGACGAAAGACAAATGTTTCTTTCCATAAACGTAATTGAGTATTAACATCCAGTTGAGAAAAATTTTGTAATTGTTTCACTTTTGATTGAATATCATCAGATATTTCATTGTTATAAGGCATTATTACCATCTAGAAAAGAATGAAGTGGCAAGTAATATTTACTTATTGATTACTTGTTTATGTCTATCACGTTCAGCAATTTCACCAATTTTTTGTTTCACTGGACGTCCAGATCCCAATTTTGAATATTTTAATCGGAATTCTTGAACAAGACTGTTATTTGGATGATCAGCACGTGTTAGTTTTAATTTAGTTTGTAATGCATCTTTCCATATTGCCTTAAATTTAAAAAAATAAATTATTTTGTGATCAATAGGTCTACTTACTAGATTTTCTGGTGTTGAAGGTAATTTCAAACATCGTACAAGAGCAGAACCAACGACATTATATTGTGTTTTTGGAAGGATAACTAATGAAAAAATCAATAATAAGATTGAATGTGAAATTCTACAGTAATTGAAAAAGCCTTTTCAAAGAAAAACCAATCGTTTTATGTTGATCGTTCAATTTAGGACTAGACAAAGTATTAATTAAAAATGAAGGAAAAATTGATCAAGTTTCAAAACTGCCGATAATCGACAATTTCTTGATAGAGAGAAATCTTATTCTATCGTCTGAGATATTTTGACAAAAAATTGTTTAAGTTCACGGTTTCTTTTCTCATATTTGTTGAAATATAAATTATAAACAACGTAATCAATTACAAAAGTTAATATTGTGAATTTTTAATATAAAACTGTTGAAAAAGAGTAGAAAAGAATCGATTCATAAGATATGTCAAAACATGACAAGTATATGTATCTCTATAAAATAACTTACAGCAAATTATAATTTTCAATGAGATCATGAACTACTGCATCGATTAGTATTTGTCGACCTTGACAATGTGAACCAAAAGTTTTCAGATTTCCAGCTTCAATATCTTTCAACAAAGCTTTTGGTAATATTGGTACTTCATATACATCTAGAAAAGATGAAGGTACACCTGCATCAGTAACAGCTTGATCAGTTGGTGAATAATCCATAGACATTGTTGATGAAAGATTAATGCTTGATAAATAAGTCGACGATGGTGATCGTGAATTAACTGAAACAGCAGGTGATGTTTGAGCATTTGGTAAAGTAAAATTTGGTGTTTTAGATATTGTAGATGTATTAGAAAATGAATCATCAGATGAAATTGAACCATCATCAATTCTTCGAAATAATTTCTCACGTTCTTCTAAGAAAATTAACTGCTGTTTGAATTTCGGTATTAATTGTGATATTCGTTCAACATTATTCATCATTTTGAGCATTGGTCCATCTACATCATGCTCTGGAAAAGAAAGAAAAATTTATATTTAATTATAAAGTGATACGAATAAAAACTCGGTTTTTTTTGAAAAAACCAGTTGAGAAAGTTAGAAAGCTGGATTAGTATGTTTTGTTATCTAAGAAAAACATGCAATGGGAAATACTTTTATAACTAACACAAATATATAATATTTCAAAACGCAAAGACAAAATCAAATCATAAACTTTCATCAGTTATGAATCTTAATCAATTTCTTCATCAATCTCAACACGTATCAGTAAAGGAGGTGATACAGCTATTGAATAAGATCTGATAGTATTAGACAGATGAACATGATAAATCAAAAAACGATTAATGAAAGTTTAAAAATAAAGCTATTATAAAATCTATATGAGAATAAGCATTTGAAACATTATATGTTCATTTTATGGTTAATGTAATGTCAGACGTGATATAAATGAAACAAAACTCAAATTGTTCACCAGGTAAATATCCAGTTCTTTGTGATAATATACTAAATCATTTGGATCAATCAAAGAATATTGACTTAAAGATTGTATTTGCCATGCAGATAATTTTCCATCATAACCAATTGTATGAAGGTTATCAACTAATAACCACCATTTTTCATTCTTTTTTATAATCATAGTAATTTGAGCAAATATTGGCTGTTCATGAGATGGCTTTAAATCTATAACATACACTCCACATCGACGATATTCAACATTATCATAAATTAGTGTATTGCATTGATATAAATCTTTATCAAAATCAATATGATCGAAATGTTTCAATAAAATATCTTTCATTGGTAAATCAAAACAAGTACTTCGAACTTTTTTAATTCCAACTGGATATTGAGTTGATTGTAATCGAGATAAATGACCAAATGTTAAACATTGTTTTAAATGATAACGTGTGACAAACATCTTCGGAATGTTTTTGAAATTGTTCGTTCGAACTGTTATTTTCTTGACATATGAATGGTTAGCTTCATATCTAAAACACCATTGTCTAACTGCTGGACCAAAATCATTAATCGTATATTTGTATTCTCGAATAAAATGTTCCTTTGGTGTTATTTTATCTGGAAAATGACTTGGCATTGTTTCATGAAAAGTATCACATAATTCACCGAGTACATGTAGCCATTTTTTTCGAAATGGATATGACAGTGTAAGGTTAAGTATTTCTCGTAATACTTTATACACTATAAATGAAGGTAAAAGATCAACTATATCATGAAATATTATAGGAAAGAGCTTGAAAAAACATAACTTTTGAGCCGCTGTGGCAACCATATGATCGTTTTGGAGGTGCTTTACGGGTGGTGGAGGTGGTTGATTGCTAGAATCAAATTTCCCATATTGAAAGCTTTCCATGCGTTCTTGTATACGATCTTAAAATGTGAACAAAAAGCGATCAACGAGTTGAGTACGAACAAATTACTCAAAAGAATATTAATAAGTGGTTTACTATGACTTTATACAAAAATTTGCTATTATTAAAAAAACGGAACAATTTAAGTCAGTTCTAGATGAATCTAATGAAATTAATTCTCCTACACTTGACTCATTAAAAATCGAATATAATGCATTTCTTAAGATTGCTTTGATCTCTATCTATTTGATAGTTTCAGCAATATTAGAAACTGAAAATAAACGAAAGAATAAATGTCAATTACAAGAAAGCTTCCTCAGTGTATGTAAAAATTTCATGATTATCTATTTACAGAAGAAAATCTGACAGAATCAGGTTAAAAATAACAAAAGTATTCTCACTATATGTTAAAATTCGTAATGCAGACGCTTGTTTAAGTAAAGAAATTATGATCACTGGGCATATTCCTTCAATGAAATCATGCATCAGATCTCGAGGTAATGATGTTGTCGCATGAAAACCAATCAGCTCTCGTAAAGGACTTGGTCCAATAACATCCTTCAACGGTACTCTATTAGGATCATTGGTGATCCTATCAACAAGATCATCGTGATCAATCATTGACCGAATTGGAATTTTTGATAATGAAATTGATAAATTCTTCTCTGGATATGTAATATAACATCTTCTGCAAAAATGACCACTATTAAAACAAGACTGAAAACCACCTATAAAATGGGATGCTAGATTGTCGGCGACAACGGTAGAAAAAGAAAATGTAAGATGAATGCTGTTAATTGAAATACCATGTAATTGTAACTGGTTTAAATTGTCAATTATCGGTGCAAAGAAACGCTGAGCTTTGACGTCATTCTCAAAAAAGAAACATAAGATATCATACAAACTCATATTGATGTTTGTTTCTTTCTTAAACGAAATATATCAAGTTAAAATTCTAGTTACTGTTTACCAGAAAATAATAAAACTAACATTTTCTTATTTTGTATCAATACTATCAAAACAGTTTTTTCTAACTTATAATTCTGTCAGTACATGTTTGAGGTTATCACGAGAAAATTTACTTTGAGAATTTTGCTCTCACAAACAGCAACTAATTGAATGAAATTAAGTTTGGATCGATGTTTATCGGGAACATCCTCCAAAGAGAAATACAACATAGTCATTTTATGTTTGTCACGTTTTGCACTAAGCGGGTTCGCCAAACCAATATCGTCCAAATACAACTGGATCAAAAGGCTATCTTGATCAAATCGATTACCATAAAATCCGTCTTTAATCGAAAACATGAGATCTAAATCATTTTCTACATTGATCCGTTGTTGTTTCATGTTTTCAGAAATTTCTAGTAGAAGTAGTTGGGATTTCAACATCGACGATAACGT